ATGGGAGAGCCTATCATCTCTTCAGATATCTCCTAAAAGAAAAATAATTCTTTTATATAAGATTGTCTTTTTCAATTTGGTTTTAAATTTTTTAATTAGACAACTACCAAAAACGAACAAAAATAAATTAAGACAATTACCTGAGGGCAGTCTGTAAAATATATTCAGAAAGTCTATGTTTAAATACAACCTTTATGACTAATAAAATAATCTTTTATAAAGGATATTTCCTTTAATCTGTAACAGCAGCCTTAATGACTCACTAATCCGAAAATTTATAAATGTGTCACAGATATAAGCAGGTAACACTGACATCTAGTGTACACAGAGGATACTACAATGAGCAGGGAATTGGTACTTCTAGGTTAGAAAGTCAGCACTCCAGGCTATGAGTATTTTCTACCAGGCATATAAAGGTCCTCACAGACAATAAGATTTAAAGATTTATGTCCTCAAATAGAATTCTGATCTTTTATGTCTTTTCTTACTGATTGTCAATTGTATTCAAAGTTCTACATAGTTACCACTGCTCGTCTGTCAATTTGTCATACTGTGGTAGCTTGCCTGTTGCTATGACTCTGGAAGCTATCCCACCCGTATTTCAAATACCAGCAGGGTCACCCATGATGGACAGGTTTCAGCAGAGCTTCCAGACTAGGACAGACTAGGAAGAAGGACCTGGCAGTCTACTTCTAAAAAAAGTGCCCAGTAAAAACCTTATGAATAGCAGCAGAACACTGTACGACAGTACTGGAACATGAGCCCTGCAGATTGGAAGGCACTCAAAATACGACTGAGGAAGAGCTGCCTCCTCAAAGGAGAGTCGACTTTAATGATGTGGACAGAGTAAAGTTTTCGGGACCTTCATTTGTTGATGTGGCATGATCAAATGAGAACAGCTGAAAACATCCATTAATAATCAGAATGTGGAATGTACAAAGTATGAATCCAAGAAAACTGGAAGCTGTCAAAAATGAAATGAAACACAAAAAGATCGATATCCTAGGCATTAGTGAGCTGAAATGGATTGGTATTGGCCATTCTGAATTGGACAATCATATGGTCTACTATGCTGGGAATGATAAACTGAAGAATGGCATCGCACTCACTGTCAAAAAGAACAATTCAAAATCTATCCTGAAGTACAATGCTGTCAATAAAAGGATAATATT